TTCTGTCTCTAAAGCGTCTTGCTTTGGAATGCACTACCGCATTCAGCAGTGGAACCCTTTAAATGGCCCTCACTGAAGTTGCTGATGGAAGATAATTGTGGTAAGAGTGATAAAGTCAGTTGCTGCTGTTCATAACATCTCTGTAAACAAACCACATGCATTTGGAATAGAGCTAGCTTAGCGGTCGTACATGATGTCGTTACTAATAAGCAGTGAGGAATGAGTTCTGTTGGAATCATTGAGATCGTTATACTTGAGTCATATCGATCGCATTGTTGTTGTGAGCGGTGAAGCGGATTTTCCGATTTGTTGCCTTGTCTTTTAGCTCCTATAATTTCCGTCACCCGCTAATAATATTACTGCCCCATATCACTATGATATCACCCTATATCACCTCACTCATCAAAGGTCCCAATGTGCTGTAACCTGCGTTACGAATTTGATGACCCTTCCCTTCCGAAGCCGCTTATCGTATCTTATCAACTGTTATCACTTTCTGTCACCCGCCAATAATGTTCCCGTCCCACACCCTATATCACCTCTCGGATCCAAGGACCCACTGTTCCTGTGAGCCGCACTGTGAATTTGGTAGTGCTTCCCTTCTAATGCCCATTATCAGATCTTATCAGCTGATATCACATCCTGTCACCTACCAATAATGTTTTCGTCCCCCCCTATTTCACTGCTCGGAACCAACGTCCCACTGTTGCTGCCACCGACAGCGCCGCTTTATGAATTATTTGGTACCGGCTCCTTCTAACGCCTCTTATCGGATCTTGATCAATTGATATTCACATCCTAGACAGCCCACCAATCGGTGATTCGCCGTCACACGCCTACACTTACTTCTGAAATCAATGTCCCACTGTTAGTTGGGACCGGGGGTGCGCCATGAATTCGTGACAACACAGCAGCAACGCACCACACAAACATACACACACTTACAGACATACTTAGCGGATTATATAGAGTAGGATGAATGTCATACTTGTGGTCAGTTCAGCGAACAACCGAACGCAGTCCACCCACTTTTTTATAAGAAAAGTGTTGGCTGCCAAAGTTCTGGGCGTCCAGTGGCTCCAATGGGCTATAGAGGTTTGAAAACCAATTCACACTCTTCGGCTCGGATACACCGCTGTAGGCGAAGTTTTCTAGCAAAGTTTTATTCTGTGTAAAAGAGATAGTAATACATGAATAGCATCCAGTAGTAAGTTGTATAGTATGATGTATCCTCGTGTCACTGCATGTCTCTTGCTGCATGATTTACCTATTACACAATACTATCTACAAGTGCTTCCTCTTCCTGCTCATTCAAATCGCACTTGCGAGGTGTATGGAACTCAAAAGAGGCTTACTGCTCTTCAAATGAAGTCAAACGGCGCGAGGTTTGCGCCCCAATCGCCATTAGAAGCGCGGATAACCAAAGATGGCAAAATGCCAGAAGCGCCGCGCGCGACACGTGCCGCGCGGATGCTGTAGGAATAGATGCCACCCTACGTGACCACGTCCTCCACAATTTATTTTCCGCCTGGTGCGAAAGTTTCGGTTTGTCTGCTTTTCTTAGTTACTTCCTCCTTCGAACAGATTTCTTCTCCACTGCACCAGGCGCAGCTCCATCAAGGCATTAAGAAAATCCATGAAAAAAAAGTGCGGAATGGAACGTATCTACGCGTCCTTACGTTTCTATCAGGCAGAGTAAATCCGCTTTGAATTTGCAAATTTGTTCGACTCTATCAGAAGTTGATCCATGTGATGCCTGATGTATTCACTGAGCTCTGTCCGTTCTAGATAGTCGCTAATCGTTGTTTTTTTTGACCTAGCTGGGTAACGGGGTATTTTGCACAATGTGGGGTTATGATTGCCCCCGGACAGATTGTTCAGGGTGTGAGCACGAGTTTCGGTGAAAACAATCACACTTAGGCAATAAATAATTTATTATTTAGATCAGGTAACAGAATATCAACGAAAAATGCAGTAGGAATAAGATACGAGGTAAGAGAAGAGGGCGTAGGGGGTCGGAGAGAGGACCGCCGCCAATCCTTCCTGGAGACGAGTCTAAAAAAACCTCTTGGAACTCCTTCCTGAACTCTCCCGCCAGGCCCGCCAGATCGTAGTGGTCAAAAAGGAGTTCGAGGCACTCTCTGCCCCCTTCCATTGGTGGTCCGCTACTTTGACCTCTGTGAGCTACAGTGCTCTTCTTTTCATTGGCGGTCCACCTCCTCTGACCAACAACAAGGCTTGGTCCCAGGGCTCGTCTTGAAACCCCACTTCCAAAATGCACCAGCAAGCTTTGTGATGACTGCTCTCCTTGCGAGGGCAACAGGTCTTTTGGCCGGATCCCTCATAAGATTGACCACTGTAACGCAGGAAATCTACAATATTTGCCTGGCAAAATCTCTCTTGGGAATTTTTTGTCTCTCCTATACCGTTTGAATACCTCGGCTCACGGCACTGATCGTTATCTGAAAAAGTGCTGCGGTCTAGCGTCGCTTTTTGTTCAGGTTTTCGACCATTGTGCAGCAGTTATGTTGATGAATGCAGCATTGAACGTTACGCGCCGAGTTATCTTCCAGAACTACAGAATGGCTTCCTTCCTTGTCAACGACAGCAAGTACGCATTCCTGAAGGAGCTTGGGCTTTCGGAGAACAACTGCGGTGTGTTCCACGGCAGATGGTCTGCCTCTGGTCCTGTCGTACAGTCCGTTTGTCCTGCCAACAATCAGCCGATAGCCAACGTGAGTTTCTTATTCGTTTTTCCTCCTGCTTATTAATATCATCTAGTGCTCTGAGATCTCAGCATTTTCTTGACATAAACCTAATATTCCTCTGGGAAGAGATTAAGAGCCCTGCTGTGATGTGACCTTGGCTCATGTTTCAGGTTCAAAATGGCACTGTAGAGGACTTTCGAATATCGGCTCAAGAAGTCAGCATAAGCTATGATGGTAATTTTCCATTCATCGCCATACTGGAGAACAAGAGAGTAGCGAGAAATATATATTATTTCGTACAATTGTGCCGTCATTTGATTGAGGATGTGAAAACATGAAGATGCACCAGCAAAAAACTGTGGTCTGAGAGAATCCAAAAGTTTTGTAGTGTCCAACTTCTCTCTTCGTAAAACCTCGGCATTGTTGTTACGTTTGTTGAATTCTTCTATGCACGCGAGGTAGGTGGAACTTCATTATGGCCTGACGTTTCGACTAGATCGTCTTCATCAGAGGCGTGGCTCACGGTTTGACATTGCTCTCTCTCTAAACCGCCAAAGATCTCCCCCTCCTCTAACGTTTCTGACAGACTGTTGAGAAAACCACCCGAAAATCCCGAATGAGAGAAAAGACTCACCCAGTCCACCACAGCGCGAGCGGAAGTAGCCGCTCAGTTAGTTGTTAGTACAATAAGTGAGACTCACTGTGCCAATCTTGTATACAGTGATAATAGTCAGAAATGGCACGTCCCACCGCTCACACCAATAGCTCGCAGTGTGAAACAAATGGCAAGAGGTCATTCGTTATGGATAAGCACTCATTGCGGTTGTTTCATTCTAGGATTTCTTGCAGAAATGCTTCTTGCTTCTCCAGAATGCTTCTAGCGCTTTTCTTTCAGAAATCTCAGTCTCGTATGGCAAGTAATTGCTTACACTTAACATCAAAGTCGTTTCCGCTGTGCTCCTCGATTAGATGCCATGAGCTGCGTTTAGGTTTCTGATGAAGACGATCTAGTCGAAACGTCAGGCCATAATAAAGTTCCACCTACCAACCTTGTGTGCACAGAAGAATTTAACAAACTTAACAACAAAAGTTTTGGTGTTTTTCCGTGATTTCACATTCATCAATGATGAGGTTTTCCCATGATTCCTAGGTTAGAAGGTTTTACCGACGCTGTTATCACAAAGTTAACAAGTGAATCCGCGATCAGACTTCGCGGTCGCGCGATTGGATCTCGCCATCAGATCGCCCAATTGGATTGCGCGATCGCGAAGTCTGAACGGCGGTCTTACAATAGAGATGGAAGAATCGGTAGAGGTCGTTTTTCTGAGGTGATTGCATTTATAGTTTTACCTTAAATGGTAGTCTCATGGAGGAATAACAGCGCACCACGTTGGAGGTGTCACCTTGTTCGAGTCTGGTTTTTCTAAATTGAGGAAATTGAGGCGAGTCGCTTTCACAATGTGAGGTCAAACGCCATCCTGGAAAAGGACGACACCGGGTTTGAGGCGCTTATTCCGCGTTGCTGCAGCAGCTTGAGTAGATGTCTACGGTATCAACGTTGATTAGTTGCTTTTATTAGCGCTTTATCGAAAACAGAATGGCGTGCCAGTTTCAGAGAGTCGTGGCATAATTGTCAGGTAGGGATCTCCTGACTTTTGCTGATGAGTCGCGCAGCAGCTGCTAGGCGTGTTGTCCTTATAGTGGACCCAGTTCTTATTCTCAGTTATCATCAAGTTGAGAAAGTGCTTCTCAGAAAGTGCTGCCCGGTCGGGCAAAAAGTTCTCCACGAATAGATAAAGATGCTGATCGGAGGTCTTATCTACCCAGATAGAAGCGACGCTGTCATGACCGAATCTAAGTGCTTGTCCATACGCTGTCATGACCGAATCTAGGTGCTTGTCCATAATCTCCCGTACTAGCGCCCGATGGGTTTCCTCCAATATCGGGTTACCACAATGCGTTACTTCAAAAAAGACTCATTATAGTTATTTCATAGTTGGTTATCAAGCTTTTCAGCAATGGTGTGAGGTACCGGCACCACGACGTGGTGAGATCGTACGACAAATCGGCGACAGACTCCGTTCTCAACTTCAAAACTTGGGTAAACTGGTGAGAACACCTTCCTTTGTTAGCACTTGATGCCATATGCAGTCTGCTTCTTAGGTTTCCATGGAAATGGGAAAAATCTCAGCTGAAGGCGTAGGGGAAGTCCAGGAATATGTTGACATCTGCGATTATGCTACTGGCTTATCGCGATCGCTTAACGGACAAATTCTACCATCAGAGAGACCAGGACATGCTCTTCTGGAACAGTGGAATCCTCTTGGTGAGTCACTTTACTTTTTATGTGTACTCATTTGTTACATAAGCCTGAAAGATGTAGACGGGGCTATATTGCGAACGCAGGGAAAAATGTCTTCGGAGCTTGTCCATCAGCAGGAGGGATCTGTTTTCGGAAAGACTATGCTGAAATAGAGGTATATGCGGGGAAATAGGGGCCGAGTGCCGATGACCTCCATGGTTTCAAGTCAGGGCACATTGGCTCGTTTTTGCGCAGAGGGAGGGGAATGGGCAGTGCACGGCAGCGGTTCACTTGAGCCGTACTGATGAAACTTCGTGGTGTCAGGGCATTGATAGATATCCTTTGTGGCCAAGTGTTTGCCAAACGGATGATGATACATCGTTAGAACCTCAGCAACCGTGATGAATTCTGTTAGGTGTTTCATCTCTTTAGTGCAATTCGAAGGACAAATTACATCCTCACCCTCTAGAAGCTGTTCATGCTGGATGCTAACAGGTCCGCAGCTGCAGCAGTGTGCCACCTTCTCCCTTCAAAAGTGCATGGAAACGGCCAGGCACGCGTAACTAGTCAACGGGCTACTTTCCTGAGGTTTGGCTTTTCTTTAGTTCTGACTGGATGTTCGCTGCGGTTTTTCTGTTGACGCAAAAGCTGCATTTTGGTGATACCGCGGGTGTGATCGGGAGACGGCATCTTGGTACCACTTCCCTGTGGTAGTCTTTCAGTGCCCCTCCAAGTGGAGAAAGTGGCAGGCGACTGCAGCTGCGACCACTTCAACATCGCACTTGGCAAAGACCGTTGTCAAATGGATTGTATCTTTTTTGCTCAACTACTCTGTTAGATGAGTGTAACCCAAGTTATTTTACGAACGACCCACCTTACTCGATCCTTCTTCATTGCGCGCATGGTGGTTAACCAGTTGGAACTTATATCATACAAGAAACAGTCGAAGCCAAAGTGTGTTAAGTACTTATGAAATTGCTGGTTTATTTCGAACTTTCCTACCAGCTTTCCTCCGGATTTCCTACTCTTAGTTATGTTCGATGTCGTGGACTTTGTTTAGCGAGAGCTTCTTAGGTGTTGTTGGCGTGATTTCTGCTTTCAACTTCCCATGTGCCGTGTACGGTTGGAACAATGCGCTGGCTCTTGTCACTGGAAATTCCGTCATTTGGAAGCCTGCTCCGTCAACTCCGCTGACCGCCATTGCTGTCACAAAGTAGGCTGGGAAGATACTATTCTTCTTTTAGGGAGCTATTCCCTTCTTTATTTCTCCTGTACAATCGCCTCTCGCAGTATTTCGGTGATTTAGGCTTGTCGAAGGAGTTTTGCGTGCAAACAACCTTCCCGGCGGATTGTGCTCATTAGTCTGCGGAGAGGTAACCTTCTATTCTTGGTTAATTTTGTTTTCTGATCAACTTACATCTCACAATAAGTCATATTCCAGAATGCAGCTCATTTGGGAATTTGAGAAATTAGTAATATACATGTCTACTGTGTTTTTAGGGAGACGTTGGTCAGGCCTTAGTCAAGGACAAGCGCGTAAACCTGGTATCCTTCACTGGATCAACAGAAGTAGGACGTATTGTTGGCCAGCAGGTGCAGCAGCGCTTCGGAAAGGTTTGTTCTGTTCATTTTCCCGTGCAGTGGTTCTCTTTTCTGAGAAGGAGCATTTAAATTCTGCAGCTTTTGCTCGAACTTGGAGGCAATAATGCAATCATTGTGAATGACGACGCTGACATTAACATGGTCGTGCCAGCCACGGTATTTGCTGCTGTTGGTACCGCTGGACAGAGGTGATTTAAGGTTAACTTAAAGACACATGGTACGCTCAAACACATTGAGGGTGTATGAGACTATCAGCCCCCAGCTGTCGATGTGTCGTGGTCCCCCCGCCCAAACATGCCCAGGAATGGAGATACAGGACCGTGAAACACGCTAGTTCCTCCATGCTCCGCCTTACACCTTTTGCGGCGCAGATTCCCGTCCTTCATAACATCCGTTGCAAGCGCGCGTGTCGCGTGCGGCTCCTTGGCACTTTGCCAAGTCCTTTAATTGCGCTCTCAAATACGAGTAAAACGCAATTTCCTGATGCGGATAACATTGGAGGTGCTACAAAATAAGAACAGAAGATGATGACAAGGGCCAGAACTCAAGAGCAACTCGGCTGCATCTGCAGAATCCATCAGAGGCCGCGCATTCCCAGAAAACATGAGAATAAAAACAATCCAAGCGTCCCATTCGTTTATTCGA